GAGCGTCGTCTCTTCTGTTATGGACACTTTACACATGGACCTTTCAGTCCCGAGGTGACTGATGAAAGAAGACCATCACCCTCAGATCTCCTTCCTTTACAAGTCTCCTCTGCAGTGGATTCCTTCTGGTGAGCATGCACTTGGACACAAGTATTTCACACTCGTTTCTTTGGAGAGGTCCAACCCCTATTCCCCACCACACTCCTTTGTCACCAATCTCCTAATCTTGTTTTATTCCAATTCCTGACCAACCAGCTAGTAGCTGCTTCCTATGAAGCAGTTTTAATCTGGATATCAGGCCACCACTTGTTCCATGTAAAGAGAACAAATAGACATAAAGCATGAAATCTGGACCACTCAGAGGAATCCCTTCCCCGCTGTCTTCTAAGGCCACCCCTGAGTAGGGCTGGAAGGCAGCATTCCCCATACAACGACTCCAGCGAGCCCCAGCCTGAATTCCTAGCCTCATAGAAATAAGGCATTTCTGAGTTTCCAGGTTCATGGGGGGGATCGCTATCTTAGTCTTAATGTAATTAACTTTCTTTGGACCTAGAGATAAATAAGATGATGACGTAGTCAGAAGTATTTGGGACTGGGAGTCAGGAAGCCTGTATTGTTTCATCACAAGTCTGCAGCATACTATTAATACATGTATTTCCTTGAGAACTTATACAAACTGCTATCTTTAGAAAGAAAATGAGATCTCTTCTCTGAGCAATGGCTGGAAGTGACAGTATATTCAAGTGGTTAAAACATAGTCTCAGAAGGCAAAGATTTAGTTAGTGTGTGACCTCACTAGTTAAGGTGAGTGATAACATGTACAAAGATGTACAATATTTGCTAATCAACAGGTGCTTCACATGGTGAACCTTCAATACATCCTAACTATTGTGATAACCTGCTTTAATTGCCCAGTAAAGGATGAGTTTGTGAGCTTTGTTAGCTACTAATTAGTACTTTTATAAAACAGGCATATCTACTAATTCAAGGTAGAAAATGTTCTAGAATGAAGTCTGGTTGATTTGACTAGGGTACTGTTTGCCTGTGATTAAGCTGTGCATCCTTGATCAAATAAATAAATAAGGTAAGTATCTTCAGACAAACTCTAGACCACAAAGGAAAATTCACTTTTTTTTTTTTCTACCAGTTCAGGCTTCCCAGGCAGTAAAAATATTTTTTATGGATGTCCAGATGCTTCTGAGCTTTTCTTTCCTTCATGCATTCAAAAATAA